AATAGATTTCTTTCAGTGATCAAGAAGATCCAGATGTTATGAAGGTGATGTGATGATCTTATTTCAGAAATTGAATTTTTGATCCTTTCTTCATATTTAGAACAGTAAACAGTGGCATCTTTAACATTAATAGGCACATCAAGCTGTTAGGGGATTAATGCACCAAGAATGTGGCAACATAATGAATTCAAGTCAATTAATCTTTATGTAAAGCAAAGATTTGCAAACAGCCTTCTTTAGATATTTTAAGGCATCTTCTTGAGATTGAGATGAAATATTGGAATGACATAGATATGCCTCTTTCATATGAACTTAATCAGATGTTAGACTTTTCTCTTTACAATTTAGCCAGGAAACATTTAACTCAAAGAACAAGAACCCAGACGCTCTAATTAATAGTATTTATTATAAGAACTGCAAAAGAAAATATATTTAATATGGTATATATAACAAAAGAATTCCAATATATTCTAAGGAGATGCTCATTTATAGGCAGTAAAAACGTTGTCCATTTCTTTATGCTTTTTTAAAAAGTTGATAGGTGGAGATTGACGTCTTTGTGAAGGTGGGACAATCTGTATCTATGTCCATCATTTTGGGAACTATTCTTCCTTTTATCATTATGAAAATTAATTCTTGCACCAGACTCAGAAGAATTTTTAAAAGCAAAAACCTAATTTAAGATGTGATTTGCTGATCTTTAGTCAACAATGATAAATTGCATCACCTGATTTCATATAAATGTATCAGAATGAACTACTAACTCTTGGTATGATATAGCTTATACCAGTTTTTGCTAAAAGGTAGCCAGGTATGTTGGAAACAAATGTAGGCAGCTCTCAGAATTCCTAGCCATGTTACACTTTGAGATCTGTCATTAATCAGGTAAGCCTCTGGTTGTGATTGGCACTGAAAATGATGTGCATGTGTTTTTTAAATAAAAGTAAATAAATGAATATGCCTAGTGCTCTAGATTCATTGGTAGCAGTATTTAGTTGGGAAACAATCTTAAATTGTAATGTTTGTATCCCATATGTTATCAACATCTTCCAAAGAACTCTCTAATTGTAACCTCTAACTCTAAGGATTATGAAGAATTGAAAACAGTAAATAAGGAATCAATGAAAATAACTCCCACAAGTGAAGATGAGTATTAGGAGATAGATGTACCCTGTTTATAAATTCAGAGCTGCCTAAATGGCTCATTTGAGGGCTCATTTGACTTGGAATGCAAAAGTAGAATTTGGTAGTTTTCGGTTATTCTTACAATATTTATTCAAGTCAGTTCAAAACATTCAGGATTATTATGCTATTGGAGTTAAACTGTAAAATGAAAACCCAATTTTCCCCTCAGTGTGCTGTCAAGGTTAAAAATTAAACACTAAATTAGTGTTTTGCAAACTTGACATCTTTAAGAAGTTTGTCAACTTTCAAAATTTTCCAGTAAGCATGCTGGCATAGTTCTAGGAATTGAAGTCCAAACATGTCAAAGTTGACAAGTTTGAGACACATTGCACCAACCAACAGTACGGTTTATTTCCCAGGAACATTTGTGAAAATAATTAATCAGTGATAAACTTGACTATATTCAACTAGTTTCTCAGAGATAAGATGGAAGAAAAGTTAAATCTGTTGACAATTTGCAGGGAACTTTTTACAAAATTGGACATTCCTGATGATTGGGTTGTATTTGCAAAAGTGACAACATCTTCCTAATCACTATATAATTAATTTGGTAAGTAAGGGATATTTTTCAGATATGTAGAACACTGTTGTGTCATTTTTTTTGCATTACGCATGAGAGGTGTAGTTGTATTTTATGCTGAGTACATCCATAGCTTTAAGGGAAGTATAGGAGAGAGGGAAGGGCCAGAGACTAGATCCAGAAATCTTTGAGTCAGTGACACCCACAAGTCCACACCCATTGCAAGTTGGGTAACTTGTGTTTACTTTGCAATTCATTTATGCAAAACTAAGGTGAGGTTCAAGCTGCATTCAACTATTTTTTTAGTCCATGCAGCATAAAAATATTGTAAACATTTCATTCAAGCAGCTGTTTAATATATAGGCATGGAGCATCTTCTACATTATTCTTAGCTATTCATTTACCTCAGTAGCTTTCTCAAAAGAAAGCATCAAAACTTTGCATGTAATTTTCCACAGTACTCCATGCTAATCACAAGCATGGATGGACCAGAACAATGTTATATCCTATGGAGCAAATGTCCTCAAACTTGGTATATATATTCCAAATTCTCAGTGGTATATGAACTGGCTGAGGAAACGTGACAAATAAAGTATACAGATTGAGATAGGGAATCATAAATATATAGCAATAACATGTTTTCTTTCAAAGGATGTGCAGTCCAATGTTAGCAGCAGAAGAATACAGAGACAATTATTGGAAATACAAGAAAATAACCAACTGAATTTTATTTCTGTACCCAGTATTGGACTAATATAGCTAAGGCAGCAGATCTTCTGAAGGCATGCAGGACAGCCTATGTAGCATATACATATCTCTGGATACCCGTGAATAACCTCAGACTGACAGGAGGGAAGTTCAAAATAATGTAAGAAAGTATTGCTTCTCAGAAAGAATAGTGGAAACTTGGAACCAACTTCCAGCAGAGGCAGCGGATCAGTCATCAATAACATGCTTTACAGATGTTTGGGATAAACACATGGCCATCATAAAAAAAAATTAAAAACAAGAGAGAGCTCAAACTGCATATTTTGTACATTTTTTGTATGTGATAGAGAGGAAGGAGACATTAAATTTGATTCCCTTTGTCATTCCAACCTTGCCCAGTACACACAGACTTGCTCAACTCATTGTCCAGACTATAAATGGCCCTTGCTGGCAAAAAAAAAGTTCACTTCTATTTTAAGATCAACACAAAGGTCTCAGGTAAACAACTAGAAATCTTGTGAGCAAAAACTGTCTCATAAATATTTACAAAGAAACCTAAAGTAAAATATTTTTTAGGACTTCCCTGTTTATTCCATCCTTGATATGAACACAAAATCACATTAGCAATTTTGCCTACATCAAGCCACATCCTAGATATGCCTTTTTAAATCTCATTTCTCTGTAGGAGCTATAATTCACTTTTGTGAAAAATGGTGCATTGATCTATGCATTGGTACATTTATATTTCACTCCATTCTTTCTGCCCTTCTTCGTTGCACAGGGAGAAATTGATATCGCAAAACCTGAATTATCTTGGCACAAGATAGAAACATGTTGTGTAGGGGACAGATTGCTCAGCTTTGTATATATACAAAAAGAACATGGAATCAGTTTTAGATATTTGTGCAACAAAGAATGAAAAAAACATTGATCCACTGTTCCTCATTTCTTCTTGAGCTTATTTTGGAATGACACAGAAAAGTGGATGCTGAGCTAAAAATAAGTGTAAGAAGGAAGCAGAGCCCTCTAAATATTTTTTCAGGACTAATTCCATAATTAGGCTGCATGGTAAAGCAGTAAGAATTCCTTCCTCTTGGAAATTGCATTGCCTAGGCTGTTAACAGTTATAAGTTATACTGAAGCCTCTCATGATTCAACTGTGTTTTCATTTTTACAGACATATTATCATATTTATACCTTACGGCTGAGAGTTGAAAGTATATGTGGACAGGAGTAAGAACTACCAATAGGGAATGTGAAGAATAGCAACAAAGATGTCCTTTGTAGATTTAATTCCTTACTCTTCAGTCAAAATATGCACACCTATTCAATCTTGACAGCTTACCAGCCCACCAGAAAGAATATCTGAATGTAATCGGGACATCTCAAAACACATATCTCTAACAGTCATACCTAAAATAGATCAAATGTCAGCAGATACTATCTCAAACTGAGATAGTTTTAAGTATTTAATTACCAAGCTCTATTTTAGTTAATTAGGAACAAGTCAAAGGATAAAGTTTCCCATTTCTTTAATTCCATAGGGTTTGCTCTTTCTTTCTCTCTTTTTTTTTGAAAAAAAAAAAAGGTTGTCAGATTTGGGCTGCAAAAATCAGGAAATTGGCAAAGAAACCTCTAACTCTTTGCTGACATCTGGCGATTGTCCAAATTTTTGCAGCTCAGAACAAGAAGCCCTAAACAAGAAGCAACAATCCTGGATACTGAAATACCTCTATAGTATATATGCTGTGGAAGCAAAACATTTTGTCTCTGGAGGTAACATAGGGGCACAAGTTGCATAAAGTAGTGACCTTTAAAGGCACCATTTATGAAGAATTTTAACATGCCATTTCCATCTATTCCATTGGCCTTTGCATTCAATTCGTCTGGACAATTCCTGGCTGAAGCAAATAAGTGTTGCATGGCTACCTTGGTGGAAGAGATCTTAAATTTGCCAGATTAATCACATCATAGACACTCTGCATTTCAAGTGAATTCAGAGTTAATACTCACCCATCTGAGCCTGAAGGCTATTGTACCACAATTACAGGCTACAAGAGAGAATTACCACCCACAGAACAAGTCTTTTGCTGTCATTACCAGAGGCCACTAGCACATATCCATCTAAAGGCCTTCTGATGGCTGCAATCAGAACAATTCTAATCCCATATGAAATGACAAACATTTTATTAAATTGACTCAGAAAATCAAATTCTCATTCTGCTCTTTAAACAGTGTTTTTACAGGAGCTACAGTTGGAATCTGCTGTACTCATTCTTATGTTTAATTATTTGAGACGGCACAAGGATCCCGGCTGCTAGCTTGGTTTTACAGGTTACAACATGTTTCTATTTTATACAGTCATTCTTACCAAATACTTAGTGTAGATTTCTAGCTGAATTGTTGCTTAATATAGATCTCTTGGAGTACAAATTAAACATGCACACCACTGCCACCCAGGTAAAAGCTCTGATGGCTGGATCAGTTCTACAGTACAGAGCCAGTTCAGGTGAAAGTCCACAAAGTATAAATCAATTCTCCTTTTCCTTCCCACTCTTCCTTGAAAACTCAAAGAAGCCATACTCACCTGAGGTTTTCAGGCTGTCAGAGGTGACCTCTTGTGTGAAGATCCAAGGAGGGTTGGTGACAAAGAGAGAGCTGGTAGAATTGTTGGCATGCTTTTTCCCAAAGAGTCGGCTAAAGGTTCCCTGAACTGAATTATGCTTCTTCATCCTTGTTTCTGCTTTCCCTAATGTTTCTTAGCTCCTCCGTTTAGCAAAACATATTTCCAGTTTGCTCGGCTTCCACCTAGCACACAGAGCCCCGGCAGGTGTTAGTCTGTGGAACTCTCTTTTCAGCTGCTTTAAAGCTAAACCACCTGAGCAGGTAGAGGGCTGGCTGCTATTGCCTGGCCACACCCCACAGCAGCTCCTTCCGTCAAATTCTTTACTTGCTGCTACAATAAGTCATTGTTAAGCCCAAACAGTTCTTTACCTCTGAACTGGTGAGGGTCTTCCCCAGGGCAGTGCGACATCCCAAGGATGACTATAAGCTTAACAGTGCTTCCCCAGAAAACTGCAAAAAAACAAGCACATTGTCCAGATGTTCAGATTAAAACCAAGTAAATGAGTATGTATTTGTTAGCAACACAGCTTCTTCAGCCTGCCAGGTCAATATTTATTTAACTTTATAACCTTGTCTGTTGTTAAAGATTCAGAAGCAACATTTGTAAATGTGCATTTTTAAAGAGAAATTGATATATTTTCAATTTAAGTAAGTTTCATGCATGCACGAGAACTCAGCCATGGCAGAAGTTCAGAAGCGGAGGTCTTAAAATCTTTCAGGAACCTCTGAAAATCTGGAATGTTGCTGTCATGTGCCATCCAAAAGTTATCACCAAATTGTCATGTTTAATGTCATTGAAAGGCAAAATGATAAATATATATATACTACAGCTGCCAAAGCAGTTGCTTCCAGGTACACAAGCATATGTATTATTTGTAGGAATGACCTAAAGCAAATGTGTCTTTTTGTGAGAGCACAGTGCAGCTGCAGAAAGTAATCACACAGTCAAAGAGAGAGGAACAGTTGCTTCAAAGAAGTTCTTTACCTTTTAGACAGCTGCTTACATGAGCACCTCCAAACATTCCAAAGCACTACGTGGCATTTCATATAAATAAAATAGAATAAGATAGGATAGGATAGGATAGGATAGGATAGGATAGGATAGAACAGAATAGAATTTTTTTTTTTTTAGTAAAAGTTTTATTGATTTTAACAACAAACAAAAACACATAAAACATAAAACATAACATAAAAACATCATCATCCTTCATAAATTTACAGACAGTGTATCGGTTGGTTTACCACTCCTTTTTGTGCATCCATTTCATAGTCATCATAATAATTATATTACATAATAACTCATATTATCAATCAACAATTATATATCCTAATATCATTATTAAACAATAATTTGACTATAATTTTACTAATTCATACTTAAGCGAGATAACTATAGTTTAGTTAATTTATTTTCTAACAAATCATAAAATCATACCAAGTCTATCTTAATAAAATATTATAAAAATATTATCAAAACCAAAAAAAATATGTATATTCATTATTTCCTAGGTTTCTAAATATTTTATTATTATATTGTATTATCTAACCATTGATAAAAAAGATCCCAAACTTCATAAAATTGTTTATCTTCTTGTTCTCTAATTTCAAATGTCAATCTACTCATTTCAGCACATTCCAATATTTTCTTAATAACTTCTTCTTCTAATGGTATTTTCTCATTCTTCCAATTTTTAGCAAATACAATCCTAGCCGCTGTTAATACATTTACAATCAAATACTTTAAGTTTTTATTATATGTATCAGGTAAGATTCCCAATTAAAAAAATCTCTGGTTTCAAATCTATATGTTTCTTTGTCATTTTTTCCAACCATATGCGAATTCTAGTCCAATATTTTCTAGCGTCCTCACAAGTCCACCACATATGGTAATATGAGCTAGGTATCTGATGACATTTCCAGCACTTTTCAGATTTATTCTTGAACATTCTTGCTATTCTTGTTGGGGGAAAATGCCACCTGTAAAACATCTTATACAAAATTTCTTTATATGCTGTTGACATTGTCATTTTATAATTTTGAGACCACAATTTTTGCCATTTCTCTAAATCAATCCCATATCCAAAATTCTTCCCCCAAGCAATCATTGTTTCTTTAACTTGTTCTTCCTCTAATTTAATTTCCAACAAATAATTATATAATTTTTTGATTACTTTTTCATCAGTACCTGTCAAAATCCTATCTAAATCAGTCAATTTATCATAGAATCCTTCCATTTTAGAATCTTTAAGATACCTTGAATGTATTTGCGCATATGAAAACCAATTCATCTTTATGCCTTGTTCTTCTAAATTTTGCATCGTTTTAAGTTCACCCTTTTCATCTAGTAATTCCCCATATCTAACTGTTTGTTCCTTCTTATAGGTTATAGGATAAGAAAAAGCTTCAATAGTTGATAACCAAACTGGGATTTTCAGATAACATTGTTTCTTAGTTTTCTCCCAATTCAACCATAACGATTCCCGTATATAATGCCTTCTAAAGTAACCCTGTGATTGGGGACTTCCGGTTTGTCGGCTTCGCGAGCGGCAGGGATTTGCGAAGCTGCGCGATCCCTGCCGCGCTAGCCGTTTTTGGGGCTCCGACCCAGACGGGTACGGAGCTAGGCTGCCCTGCAGGGGCAGCTGAAGGTAGGGGGGATCCGGAGAAGGGTTTGGGGGTGTTGCAGACCCTCTCCCTGGCCGGCAGAACCCCCTTTTCCCAGGACGGTGCAGCGGCAGTCTGTAATGGCCGCCACAAAGAAGCTGGCAGCCGGGTAAGAATGCGCAGGAGGAAGTGGAGAAAGTGATTGAGAGGAGAAAGTTTTTCTTGGCTCCTAGGACTCTAAGACATATTTAATAAAATTCCTGAAAAGTATGACTTTCTGAATAATACCTGCCAGAAGAGGAAAAAAGCGGCTGTTTGAAGGTGCTGAAAGGATAGCTTTCCCTCTTTTCCTACGGAATAAATAACTGGATATTAAGAAACCTATTTCTTTTAGGTGAAAATTGGTTCTAAGCGATGAGTGGGAAGAGAGAGGATTAAAAAGAAAATATTTGTATGCTAAGACTTTGTTGGAGCAGATGCCTTAAGGATTTGAAGACTAGAATATATTGTAATAAGATTTTAAACAGATTTGGACTTTCTTTCTCTTGGATTGATATTACCCCAGAAGGAGAAAGTGAGAACTCTGCCTTGGTTTGGACTGACTGATAACTTTGGGACTGTTTTATTTTTTTTATTTTCTTTTGAATATTCTGGTTGTTGTAAGAAGAAAGAAGGGGAAAAGAAAAGAAAAGATTTATAATGGCTCTTTCTGTTGAGGAACTAAGAAAAGAATATGAACAAGCAAAAAAAATGGTAAAGATGGTGTGGAAGAAGCTTTCCTTTTTTTAGAAATGGCGCTTACTAATTATCAACAAACATTACAACAGATGAAGACAGCAGAGGAACAAGAAAGAAAGGAAGGAGCCATTTTTAATGAATCTCAGAATTTGATCCAGAAAGAAGGAAGAGAGAAAGAAAAGAAAAGAAGAGAAAAGAAGAAAACTAAAGGACTTAAGGACTTAAGATCTAAAAAAACATTTAAGAAAGGGAAAAATAAGGTGCAAAACCAATATGATGATAGTAAACAAAAGGGAAAAGGAATACGACAGAGAAGGGAAGCTGGTAAAGCAGAGGCTAGAAGAAGGGGGGGTAGAAAGGTTTGTTGGGAGAAGAAAGAAAGGGAAAAGGTGGAGAAAAGCTACAATGTTTTGAAATTAAATGAAAAAAAGAAATTTTTTATGGATAATGGATAAAGTATAATTTTTTTTTAAAAAAAAAAGATTTTGCAAGGTACATAAGATGAGATGGTAGTATTGTAATGGTTTAAGAGTTGATAAGAGATTAAAATGTTAAAATGTTTAAAAATGATTGGCTTTAAAACTTAATAATAGGGGAGGTTTAGAATATTGTTTTAATTAAAGAGTTTAATAAGACTATGGTATTGATGTTATTATAAAATTTTTATTATAGTATCTTTTTTTAATATTTGGATTTATTGTCTAATTATGTACTTAATTATGTTGGATGTATTAGTTAGATAGAATGTACCAAGCAAAATCGGATTGGGTATTAGATATTATTTTAAAGATTAATTTGATTAACTTAGGGGGGAGATAGAAAGGCATCATACTCTGATTAATGATTTCAGGAGAAACTTATTTTCTTTTTTTTTTTATAAGGAATGAGACAAAGGGATGATAAAAAATGGACAAAAGATATAAATATAATGATTCAAACTAAGATGATTAATTAAGATAGAAGTAAGAAGTGTGAAATATGTGGGGAAGTTAATATAGAAGGCTTAGAATGGTAAATAAAATAAGTAATGATATGTAAGATGAGCATGAATATAATTGAAGTCCATGAAGAGAGAGACACCTGGGTCCAAGTTACTTTCCAAAAAGATTTTTTTTATGTTTTGTGTGTTGTGTGTATATGTCTTTTTGGGGGGGAGAATTAGTTAAAACTTGTAGAAATATAGAATGAGAATAATGGTAACTAAGTCAGAAAGAAACAGATGAAATAATAATAATGATATTGAATAAGAGTAAAGAGAAGTAAAGAGAAATTGAATAAGAGGTTTTGGTATGTTGTATGGAAATGGTTTAAAACAGAATCATAATTTATCTGACTTGTTAAATTGACAATGAAAAAAGGTTTAAACATGTAATGAATAATGATAATTTGTGTGTTTTAAAAATTAATAAAACTTGTTTAAAAAAATAAATAAAGTAACCCTGTGATTTAGTTCCCTTATACCATAAAAAAGCATGCCAACCCAATAATAAATCATGTCCTTCTAATGCCAACAATCTGGTCTTTCTTAACGTTATCCATTCTTTAGCCCACATTAAGTTTGCAGCTTGATAATACAACTCCCAATTAGGAAGGCCAAATCCTCCTCTAATTCTAGCATCCTGTAAAAGTTCTAATTTTATTCTCGCTTTCTTACCTTGCCATATATACTTCAACACAATTTTATTCAGTTCTTCAAAGTACTCCTTACCTAACCTAATTGGTATTGTTTGGAACAAATACAAAATTCTAGGTAAAATATTCATCTTAATTGTTGAAATTCTACCTATCAATGACAATTGTAGGTTTTCCCATTTTTTCAGATCAGATGCTATCTGCTGTTTAAGTTTAATATAGTTATTCTCTTTCAGTGTAGTACATCTTGACGTCAAATATATCCCC